CTAATCCCATCATCCCCCACTTCAAATCCCTTGGTGGCTCCCACTGAGTACAGAATGAAAGTCCACTCCACTGTGACTCCAGGTCCTTCCAACCTGGCCCCGAGAGGACCTTCTGTGCCCATCACCCATCATGCCATAAATCCCAGACACTCAAGTGAAGGTCAAAAGACAGGAAACTGGAATCCAGAGCTTCTGAAAAAATTATCCTGCAAGGCCTGTTCCAAAACACACATGCACACACAGAATCATACACACACCCATACACAAACGCTCACATACACATGCACACACCCCCTCACACATGTACAGTCATACACACATACATATCCTCACACACACCCCCTCACATACATATATATCCTATACATGCACAGTCATACACAAACGTTCACACACACTCACACACAATCCACACATACACGCAGTATGTACCATCCTGCACACACAGGACGGTGTGTCCATCTCTAGCAAAGGGATATGCAAGCAGATGGTTTGCACAAAGAAAGAAGGAGAGTAGAAGGTGGTCTCGGCAAGAGGTAAAGCGCAGGGAAGGGTGGTTCCCTTGGCCAGAGGTCCGACCTCATGGCCTCCTGGTGACCTGCTGACAAACGTGGGGTCACTGCGTCCAACGCTTCATTCAGCAGTGATGCAGGCTGGGATGCCTGTGACATCTGTCAGCCGCTCAGATAAAAGGGGTGAATCGAAACAGGGTCCTACTGTACAGCACAGGGAACTACATTCAATATCTCATGATAAACTATAATGGAAAAGAATATGAAAGAGAATATATATATATATAAATGAGTTATATATATATAAATGCGTCACTTCGCTGTACAGCAGCAATTAACACAACATTGTAAATCAACTGTACTTCAATACAAAATACTGTAATTTTTTTAAAAGGGGGTGAATTGCTTCTTTTTTTTTTTTTTTTTTTTTTTTTTTTTTAAGAGGGGGTTGTTTTTTTTTTTTTTTTTTTTTTTGCTTCTTTTTATATAACAGGTGATTCGTATTATTCATCTTGCTCTCAGTAAATCCCTTAAAAGGAAAAGTCAACAACAAGCCACAAGGGGGAACCAGGTCAGACAGCAAGTGCAGGAGGCCGGGAGGCCCTGGTGTTTGAGAAAAATGCCTACGTGAGCCCCTCCAGGGCCTCCAGATAAACCCCTCTGGCCCTCACCAAGTCCACAGCCGGCTGCCAGGGCTCTTCCTACCAGTTGCTGACTGGCACCAAGCACCTGGTCGTCCTGAAGCTCTATCCAGACCCTCATATTCTATATGAGACCTGGGATGAAACTTCTAGTCAGACTCTGGGCCAACCTCTGCATTTTACAGAGAAAACTGGGTTTTCTCTGTAAGGAAAAAAAAGGAAAGGACTCATCCTCATTCTAAAGCCCAAAGTCCACAACGAGTTTGTGCAGAACACCGCATGGAATCACACTGAGGGGGAACTCTCTTCCCACCTCGCCCACCGCTGCACTGCCTGTAAACTCCGCATCCTTCCAGCCTCAGCTCCGTGGCGCCTCCTCCAAGAAGCCTGACCAGCCTCTCTCCTCCTTCCGGTTGGAGCTTGAAGGCCCTGTCCTCAGACCCCGTGTGCCAGATGACCTTGTTAGAGAGCTGGAAACAGGCCGGATGCTCTGGCTCATCCGTCCCCATGCAGTGCACACAGCATCTCAAATGAACGGAGAATGTCTAGTCTATGGACTCAGTGCCTGGTGCTCGGCCCGGCACGGTCGAGGTGAAGTATAATTAAGTGCCCATCTTGGTCAGCAAGGAGTGCTCTCTGATTGACCACCTGACCCTCTCACTCTGTCTCTCTGACCTGCATCTGAACGAGTATCCCATCTACTCTCCAGACCCTCATTTCAACACTCAGCTAAATGCATTCCCAACCGGACCACGGGAGCTGCTGTTACCCATGGCGGGTCTCCCCCAGAAGGCTTGGCCCACTGGTTCTCAGCTTCGGTTGCATACTGATGCCACCTAGGGGGCTCTCACCCCCCTCCCCAATGCCTAGGACACACCGCAGGGCACCCCTCTGTGCGGGGAACCCAGGCATCAGATTCTTAACCTCCCCATTTGGTTCCGGCATGTGGCCAAGGTTAAGAAACACGCTCCTAAGAAAAATGGGATTCCAGAAACTATGTGTTGGTTCAGCCAGTACTGCGTGTGGGTGGATGTATGACAGTGCGAGAGACACACAGAGTGACACACGCAGTAAAAGAGAAAGAGACTGTCCATCATCATAGCCAGTGTTCCTCACCCCCGACACGATTACATTTCAGGCCACATCATTTTTGTTGTGGGAGCTGCCCTGTGCATGCTAAGATGTTTAGCAGCATCCCTGGCCCTAACCCATTAGATGCCAATAGCAAACCCTCCTCCCACCAGTTGTGACAACCAAAAATGTCTCCAGACATTGCCAGATGTCCCTGAGGCGGAGGAGCAAAATCACCCCTGGATGAGAACTACAGGTATAGGCTAGCCGCCAAACAACTTACTGCATATTTACGTTCACATTTCAACTGCAGGCACACAGGCATTTTTCCAAACTTAACTAAGTGGCTGAGGATTCTGGACACAGGTCAGTGTCTTTGTGACAGACATACGGGACTGTACCATACACGGGATGGGTGGGAAATGGTGGGTGAGTCTAGAGAGAATCACAGAAACTAGATCAGGCAGGTTCAAGGCAGCCAAGATGAGTCAGTGGTGGTCAAGCCTATAAAAGATGACCAAAACCAACAAAACCCAAAAAGCCAGATATTCAGTAAAGTAGCAATGCCAGAGGCAAGCAGAGGGTTGTCACAGGTGAAGGCAGGTGATGACCAGGAGCCAGGAAGAGGGAAATGAGAGAGAAGGAGCTCATGGAAGTTCTGGGCAGGGAAGGACCACCCCAAGCAGCGTTTGGGGATAAAGTGTAGCACGGTGTGTAGCTGGCATGGGGGGAGGAAGGACGCTGAGGGCGGAGGCGGAGCCGTAACACCCACACCCACGTGCTGCCTGATGCCTAAACCACCCCCAGTCCCTGCCCAGGCCGCCCTTCCACAACCAGAGCTCAGGACGGCCAGGGCCAGATGCCAGCAGAGAAAACACCCAGCCAACGCTGGGGCTGAGCAGAGCCTGTCTACTGAGCACCTGGAGGGGGCCTGCTGCCTCAGAGCCCCTTGAACCAGCCTCCCACAGCCTCCAGGGCCCCCAGGGAAGAGCCTCTGGAACGGCCCCTCCAGACATCACCCCAAAAGAGCAAAGAGCCAGTTGGAGTTCCCCAGGACCCTCGGGCCAGGCATCCTGCTCCCCACTGGCTCCCTCACCATCCACCCCGCCCCTTCCCAACCCTCATCCCCCATGCTGGAGGCTTGGTTTCCCCCAATGTCCCCTCACGTTCCTTCTCATCCCCTCGGGATCCTCTGTCTCTGCCCACCTCTGAGCCCTGGTGTGCTCAGACTTCAATGCTGGGCCTCTTCTAAATGCATCTCAAGCCATCTGTCTAAAACCCGACTGTGCACTCGCCCATTCGAGACATGCTTTGATTGTCCTCTACTGAACCCAAGGTAAAGTCCAACGTACCCGAAGCCCTGCTGCTCTTGCGCTGGCCCACCTCCCAGACCCCTTCCACCTGTGTGTGGAGATTCCAGCCACCTCTGACTTCTCCTACCAAAGAGAACAAAGCCACGTCCACCCCTAACAGCCTGAATCGCTTGCTCGTTTCTAAGCCGTTCTGTGAAACAGTGATTTGCTGACTCTTCTGTGTCTGCCACCAACTCTGAGCAGAAACCCAGGTGACTGTCTGCAGCCTCGGCCCCACCCCGTCCCCGGTACTTAATACTCAAAGGAGCTGTTACCGCTTGCTGAGTACTATTTTAAGTGCCTTACTATGAATTACTTTATTTTATTCTCATAAAGTAGTTGTTTCATGCTCTTATAATAATAATATTATAGAAATATGAGTAATAATATTGTTTACCCCCTTTTCATAGTCGAGAGTACTGAGGTACAGAAATGTGAGGAGACTTCTTCAAAGTTACATAGTTTGAAAATGGGGAGATTCAAACCGGGACAGTCTGCCCACAGCCAGTACTCTTCACCGCTGTGCGACCCGGCATCATACTGAGAGACTTTTAAGTGAACTAATCCAACTACCCACACGATTCCGCAGGGAGCAAAGGCCAGTGCTGCTGCAGATCCTCTGGGCCTCAACACAGAGATGCAATGAACAGAGGGTGAGCATGCGGCCCGGCTGATGTGGGCACAGGTGGGAGACCAGCCTTGACCACAGACACGGCTTCACAGACACGCTGACTCTGCCTGGGTCCCTGCTACTTACATTCACCTGAGTGGGGTAAAAATACCAGGAATGTCGGCACTTCCGTCGTGGGAGGGAGAGAGAAGCCAGGCCCGAACTGGCCTGAGGCCAGGGTGGCAGGGCCTAGTAGCACCCACCACAAGTCACAGAGTGAAGGCAGCAGAGGGTACTCTGGTTCAGAAAGACTAGGTGGATGCCACAAACCTACAGGGCAGAGCTGAGGCCAAAGACCAAAATCAGAGGCACAAGGCGAGGGTGGAACCTGGTGGCAGCAGGGGCAGAGATTCTGCCTACCCAGACAGAGCATCACTAGCCGGGGATGCTGGTCCAGCTTGCCCGGCACCCAAGGGAAGAGGGAGAAGATGGGGTTGGCACCAGCCTCAGGGCACAGCTCCCTAGCATCCCATTCAGGGGAGCCACCCAGCCGCCCACGCGGGATTCTGGACTCCCACCATCGGCCCCACTGTTTCCACTTTAAATACTGTTCGAACAGTAGGGGAGCAGAGCTGGCACCTCCGGAGAAGAAAAGGCGTGAATAAGAAGGTGAGATCACCTTACACCTGGGACTCCACAGAACCTCCATCTAGCACCCATGCTGGGCTGGGACCAGCACCTCATTTGGGTTCATAATGAACAAGCATTCAAATGATCTCCCTCTCCCTTCCAAGAGCCAGAGCCCAGAACTCACCCTCATGGGCTCATCAGGGAACCCGGGTTTGCTCGGCCTGTCCTGGCGCCGGGATCTCAGGACCTGTTTGGCCTCCTTTTCCGTCAGAATCGGGGAGGCCCCTGAAAAAGTCAGGAAGGGACCTTAGGGACTCTCAGACACACGCATCCATGCTCCATCTCACCTTCCAAGGCGAAGCATTTGCAAGTCCAATTTGGGTCAATGCACAAAAGTTCTTTCAAAGGGACCTGCCCCAAAGGACGAGGCGTTCCAGAGGGGTCAGAGGGGAATTTTTAATTGTTTCTAACATGGTTAACTCAGAGTAAAAGCATATTTACCTGCTGCCGCCACGGCTCATTCCTCTAAAAGTGGCTGTTAATTTAATGAACATGTTTCTTTAAACATATTTTCTTCAGTTCACTGGTCAGTGTGTTTATTGTCCCTCAGGGTTGCTTTGGTGGGATTCTTTTAAATCCTCAATACACTAAATCAAGTTTAAGTTGTTATTAGAAAATTCCCCCATGACAATAAGATTATATTAAACTTGATAAGCACCCACGATCCCTCAAAGAAAATATTATAACTAAAGCAAGTCAAGTTTTGATAATCACACACAAATTCCAAAAGATACTATTATAATAAAAGTATATCAAGGGAATTCTCTGGCGGTCCAGTGATTAGGACTCCTGCTTTCACTGCAGTGGGCCTGAGTTCAATCCCTGGTCAGGGAACTAAAATCCCACAAGCCACGCAGCGTAGCCAAAAAAAAAAAAAAAAGGAAAAACGAAAGTATATCAAATTCTGATGATCTCAGATAAACTCGAAAAGACCGTATCCTTGAAGATTTATCAGCATTTTTGAGAATTAGTGTTCAATATGTTTAAAGATTAAAAATATAATTTATCCCTAATTATACCAATTCCGGGAGCCTGCTCTTAGGAAGAAAAAAAAAGAAGCACTGAATTATTATACATTACATATTACTTGAAATTTTGAAAAAATATTTTAAAAATATAAGATAGACTTATTTCAGTTTATCTTGTCAGCACAGAAATAGGTTTCGGGAGTTAATGCTCACCTGAGAAGAAAATCAGTAAGGTGAGAGACAGCAGGAGCACAAATAACCTCTTCATCCTGCCTTGATCCCTCTCTCCGCCTGTTGCAGAATGAATCCCCCCGGTCAAAGAGCCAGCCTACTTGAAGAGAGCCACATCCGGCCCAAAGGCTGTTTATGCTCTGACTAACAGCACTCACAGCATGACGCTAAACGCATCTGACGCTAAATTTTCAGTATGATCACGAAAATATTTTCCCCTGAATTCCTATAAATTTTCATCCTGAGGAAGGAAATTATCCTTCTGTCATCAAACTTTTGGAGCTTGAATTTGACAAAGCAACACATGACAACCATTTCATTTAAATAGATATGTCTATATATACATCATGGCGTAGTTTGTGTTTATCTGTAGCTTCAGTTCATGCTCCTACTGTTTCATTGAGAATTAATCACCTCTCACATTTACATATTTTATGACATTTTTCCAAAACCCATTCACCAATCCATTTTGACCTCCCCAGTAATTTCAGAAATTAGCAGGGAAATTAGCAAGGAGCCTAATGAGGGGAAAAATTTTTTTTCAGCTGACCTTGAAGCCAGATAGACCAGGGTTCATGCCCAGGCTTCCCCTCTTTCTAGCAACATAAACTTCGGTCAATCACTTATCCTTTCTGAACTTCAGTTTCCTCTCCTGTACAAAGGAAATAACAGTACCTACCACGTGGGTGATTAAGGATGAGGGATAAGGGATGAGATGCATGGCTCATCTTCATTTTACAAGTAAGGAATTGGGGTTCAGACAGGTGAAATGATGTCCAAGTTCATACATTTTACTGAAGTCGAGCCAAATTCTTCTGTTTTTAAAGCCTGGAGCTCTTCCCATTATACCCCAAAAGGGCCTTGTGCAATAAGTCAGTAATACTGTAAGCAGCCTTACTCCACACTTAAGTTTATTTTTATAAAGATAATAAAATCTCAGTAAGCTGAAGTCTTTTTAAATTCAAATCACCAATATATATTACATAAATTATTAAATATATTATAAAAATATGTGTGGAAGGTATGTGGCATTTATTGGGATAAAATTCTCAGTTCAGAGAAATGATCTGATGTTTCTGTAGTTACTTTGCCAGTTCAAAAGAAAACAACCCCCTATCGGTGGTTGCCCAAGTTTATGCTAATGTTGTGTAACTGATATTAAACTTAAATGTTCTGCCCATTCTGCTGGTATAAAAACAGTCTGAACAGACTGTTATCAAGGAAAAGAAATCATGCATTGTTAGCAAAGTTGCCTCATATGTTAATTTGCTCAAAATTAGATGTTTGGTTTTATGTACTCTGTTGCTATTAACATCCTTCTGTTCTCATACAGTTTTCAATAACTGCGAAATTTTAGGAGCACTATTTTAGCAATATACATTTGTCACACGAAGCATCTTGGTTTTTTATGTGCATTGTCAAGTTTTTTCTTCCTCTTGTTCTTTGTGGTTGGAACAAACACTAACTGCATTGTTTTGTTATATCAAATAAACATCTTCTACGGACCAGAAAAAAAATTTATACCTAGCTAGAAATTTCTAATGTATCCAATGTAAATTCAGTACAAAAGTATTTTTTAATTTGGTAACTGCTGTCTATATCAGCACTGTCCAATAAAATCATAATGTAAGTTATGGATGCAAGCCACATAAGTTAAATTTTTCTAGTAGCCACATTTTTTAATAGTTAAAAAAACAGGTAAAATTTTTTAAATTATATTTTATTTAACGAAATACGCAAAATATTGTTTCAACATGTAATCAAGATAAAGTACTAATCAGATATTTTACATTCTTTTTTTTTGTACCAAGTCTTTAAAACCTGGTGTGTATTTTATACTTGCACATTTCAAGTGCTCAGTAACCACATGTGGCTAGTGGCTACCACACTGAACAGTGTAGGTCCAGATTCTTCCATCTCTCATGCCACTACCAGAGTCTAGGCTACTGCTACTTCTCACCCAGCCTCCTGCACCAGGCTCCCAACTGGTCTCCCAGCTTCCCTCCCTGTTTGCTTCAATCCATTCTCCATGCAGCAGTAATGATGGTCTTCTAAAAACAGAAATACAAAATATAAATTGGACCTCATCACTTCCCTGCTTACGAGTCTTTCTTTATCTTCCCACTGGGTTCAGAACAGAATCAGAAACCCTACCATGCACTACAGGACACTGTGTTACCTGGGACTGTGGTTTTTTCCAACCCCACTCCAATCGCACCCCTCCAGCTCATGCCAATCCAGCTACACTTCGTTACTTTCAATTTAACAAGCTCTTTCCCGCCCAGGATCTTTGCACATGCTCTTCCTCCCTCTTTTAATGACTGGATTCTTCTCAGTCTTCAGGTTTCAATTTGCACTTTCTCTTGCTCAAGCAAGCCTGTCTTTACCAGCATACTTAATGAAGGTTCCCTGCCACCCCACAACCACCATGACTCTCTACCTCACAGCACTCCCCGTAATGGGTAAATGTTGTCTTTGTTTACTTTTTAAAATCTGTCTCCTCCACTGGACCGTAAGCTCTAGGTAAGCTTATGTTACTTTTTTTTTAATATTGTTTCTAATATTCTCCATTTATTTATTTGTTTGTTTGTTTTCGGCTGTGTTGGGTGTTTGTTGCTGCGCGCAGGCTTTCTCTAGTTGTGGCGAGCTGGGGCTACTCTTAGTTGCGGTGCGCGGGCTTCTCATTGTGGTGGCTTCTCTTGTTGTGGAGCACAGGCTCTAGCCGTGGGGGCTTCAGTAGTTGTGGCTCGCGGGCCCTTAGAGCGCAGGCTCAGTAGCTGTGGCACACGGGCTTAGTTGCTCCATGGCATGTAGGATCTTCCCAGACCAGGGATTGAATCTGTGTCCCCTGCATTGGCAGGCGGATTCTTAACCACTGCACCACCAAGGAAGTCCCATGTTACTTTTCTAATTTAAAAAAAAAGAGAGAGAGAGAGAGAGAAAGAAAAGGGAAACTTGGGTGGACAGGAGAAGTGAGACTGGAGAAAGCCTGTATCCCACCCTGGGATGCTGGTTCAAGGTCTCAGGTGGAGAGGGCCCCTCAGGTGTGATAGTCGCAGGGTCATTCAAATGCCTTTCAGGTGGGCTCTGAAGATATCATCTCAAAAGGGGGAACTATAGAAAAACTGAAAGAGCAAGGTAACCTGATTGTGAGTGTCACTCTGGTGGGGAGAATTCTCTTCTACCTGCCTATGCTCCTTTCTAGGCAAAGTGTCAGCCAGATCAATTAGGTGAGTCAACAGGGCTCACAGTAGAAGACACAATTCCCAAAAAATCCACAAGGTGGCAGAGTAGAGAGAAGAACCTGGGACAACAAAGGTCAGGGGAAAGACACTTCAGGCCACCAACATTCACCATTCCAGAAGTTGCCAAGAATACCAGGGAATCCACTGGAGGTGGAGAGGGGTGGCACTGCAGTACCTCAGACTATTTTCCTAGGATTTTAATTGATCTGAAGGTCCCCATCAGATACTGAGACATGGGAAAGCTACATTACCAATTTGACAACATTTAAGAATATATAAAGGAAGAGTGCTACCACCATATCACAGCACCCTGACATAACTGATATTTTCATTCATGTGGGTTTCCCACCTCTTTTAAAAAGAAATCCTTAAATGTTTAAAGATCAGTGATAAAGCCGACACCATCAAGTTCTCAACACCATCACACTGCATACTCTTTCAATAGGATAAGACAGTGATTTCAAATTCTGTGAGCTAAAGAAACTTCAAAAACAAGGGAACATCTTTTTTTTTTTTTCCCCTATAGAAAGCTGCTGAATCTGTCTCAAGAAAATTATAACGTGTCCACATTCTTTAGGCCCAGAGCCAATAAAATAAATTCTAACATTCCTTTTTGCAGTTGTTTTCCTTTTTATTATTAGTTTTTTTGGCTCCCTTTCCCACTAGACTATAAACTCTACATTTTTACCATGTACATATAATTGTTGTATACTATTCATAACAGTACCTCCATAAATCTCACGTGTACCTACCCACACATTAATTTATAGGCACACTGTGTGGGCAGATGTTAGGTTTGGGTTAGGCAGATTGAATTATTAGCACCAGTTCTTCACCACCACCAGTGCACATCTATGCTCTTCACCATATGACTTTGCAGTCCTGCCCCTTAACTTTGGGCCCAACCACGTGACTTGCTCTGGACAATGGGATGGTAGCAGACATGACACAAACAGAGGCAGGAAATGTGTTTGCAGAGTTAGGGGTACCCTCTTGCATTTTGCAGCCATTGCTACAAAAAGAGCTTCCCCCAGACAGCTGCCATCCTTCAAGCTAGGTCTCAGAATTAACTCCCATGAAAAGTGTCTGCACAGATGTACAGCCTCCAGCAGACCCACCCAGCCCAGTCCAGCCTCACTCAGCTGACCTCCAGCTACCACCACCTGTAGCAGAGCCTCCCATTAACCTGCAGACCCTTAAGAGTAAATGATTATTTCAAGCCACTGAGCTAGGAGCACTTTGTTACACAGCACTACTCTGACAACAGATAACTGATACAGGGGGTATAATGGGATGGTCAGCGTGTCCAAATCTGGGTGCTTTGGGGTCTAAGTTAATAATAGGGTCCTGCCAGATACTTCATTCAAAAGTGAATGAATATCTGCTGTGTGGGCTGAGTTATATAATGGTCCAGACTGTGGGCTGCAGAGTTATCAATAGAGCTGGGCTTGAATCCTGGCTCTGAAACTTATTATCTGTGCCACACTGAAGCTGTGTGACATTGGGCACATTTCTTTACTATCCAAGTCACTGTTTACTCACTATTAAAAAATAATAATTATTATAATAAAACTTACATCTTAAGGTGTTTTGAGACGTAAAAGAGAAAGTGTATGTAAAGTACTTGACAGATATAGTAACTAATACCTGGAAACTATTACTGTTTTATTATTCCTCCTTCTCTGTGAAATCACTCTTCTTTATATTTGCACACCCTCCCCATTCTCAGAGACATGATAGAAAGCCTGTAAAAAAATTTTTAATGACCAAATGATATCGAGATTAACCAAACACATCTTAAGATAATTTTATATACTGTTGAAATAAAAATACATCTT